CAAATGGACTGAGGCTGATCGACTTCACTCAATTTGTCCAGCTGATCACAATACACTTCTGAATTAATTGTGGTATTGTCGGGCACAAGCTCAAATTAAACGATCCCTCTAAAACCCCATCGAACAGATAACATAACCTTTTTTTGGTGACTATCGGACTTCGTAGTGGTTATCCTTTTTAGACCATGCTCTCTTGCGATTTACATTATGGTAAATAACCGACATTTCGTCCCTTATAACAATGAGCTTCAAAAATGAATCACTTCTTTGACGCTTGAGAAGTAAATCGCAGTTGCTATTGCGTCGAAGCCAATTTCAATCTGTAAATACCTGAGAAACCTATATGTCAAGTTTCGAAACTCTCGGATGAAGGCAATGAAGGAACTAGCTGAGCGCTATTGACGTGATGTGATTCCTATCCAAATAAATTGATCGAAGGGYCTTGAGATTGCGTCTAAAAATTGCTGTGCAATCTAGAATCAGGTGCTCAGAAGTTTCCGGTTCCATGGCGCAAAACAGGCAGTTTGCTGTCCATATAGGACAAGTGTTCCTTGAGCCTGCATTGCCCCGTATAGAGTGCGACTAGTACACGGAATTTGTGTCGGACGAGGTTAATAATGCCTTTAAACCTTACTGTAGCTTTGCATGTTGCACACATATTGCTTTTGCCAGTATCTCTGCCTACTCTGTCCTCCKTGTGGAGCAGCTCCCTTATGTTGTGGGACCACACCGATTGCTGGACCCATCATACTAGACGCTGCAGCCGATTGGACTAGTTCGTCGGCGAGTTCGTTGTCGGCTACCCTTTCATGTMCCGGCAYCCAGATCAAGTGTACACGGTTGCAGACTAATAGGCTGTTTACGTATGCTCCTCAAACAGTGGCGTTCTCATATTGTGTCTTACGAACTTTTGCTCAGCATGGTGAGCTTCCAGGGTTGATATACATATAACAAGACTAGACCCCCTTGACGCTGCCGTTATTAGTTATTCGACCATTTGCTTCGACTAACATTATTTTGGTTCTCATAAACGAAATTGCCGGAAAGAACTTTTGCAAATCAAGTTTGGCAATAGCGTTTGGTCAACACCGCTTTTCGGTAYACATCACATAATTTTMGCCAGAGATAAAGAGATGCCCAACTCCCCTCTCATTGGAAGTGAGAGAACAATTGCTAAACGTCAAAGTCGCCTGAACTCGAACAGTTGATCGTCCAACAATCTAGCGAAAACGATCCGAAAATGAGTCGTAATTGGAAAAATAAATTAAATATGAGGAAGATGCTGAAGGTCATCTCTCTCGAGTATAAGGAAAATTGTAAGGAAATAAGATGAAATGATTTTATTGGCTCAGGAGCCTACTTTGAAAGCGATAGGCAATATCTGTATTAAAATAAAAAGGAGTACAAGCTATAAATTTTTTTTTCAGTCAGTTTGGTGTAATTCTTATTCGAACTTTTTCTTGGTCGGGCAATTCAAAGTTCGCTCTATCGTCACCGATTGGGCAAYCGGGTTCACCATCTCCTGGTGTAATGCTTTCACTGCCATTTAACAGGCTGAACACTTTTCCAGCCTGTATATTTCAGTTTGCTCAGGGTATCAGTCATTAAGGGCTTTACAAGCATACGCTCCGTACTTGAAACCTTCTGTGAGTCGCCTCATCTTTTCGTAGAATTTTCGAGCATTAATACTGTTGGCCAGCTTATCAAGCTSTTCGTACTCACGCATTTCGGCCTCCCTCTTTTCTTTTGTCCGCAAATGCGTTTCGCTTCCCTCTTCAACTCTTGYTATMTACCCCATCCCACACACGTTGTSKTCGATTGTAACATTGCGAGTTAGATAGTCTCTTTATTCTCCGCTGCGABACAGCACTCCTCGCTCTGAGAACTTTCCSCACTAGCGTGAACTTCTACATATGGCTTCATCAATTTGCTAAAACTAATTGCGAATAAAAAGCAATTTTAACAACATTCTGTTTATTAAATTTCTTTCGGGAATCTTTCAGAAATCTTACATTCACAAATTCGTTTCACTTATAAAGCTGCTTAAATTTAACAAAGCACAACAATGACATTATTCTCGAAAACTATTTTGATTTAATTCACTTTATACTAATAATGGTATCCATCAAATTTCATTTTGCGCGTGTTCCTTCGTGCTTAATGCCACAACTAATTAGTAACAAGTTAATGTGAAAATTACAAATTTATATTAATGCATATTTTGATTTATTGCAGTTGACAATTCGGTTGCGCAGACACTCACACATCAATATTTTAATAAGCTAAATTGGTATATACATACACACATAGGTAAATACATTGCTATGAGTATTCTTAAGCGCCACTCTCTGCACATTACACTTAGTCTTCAAGAAAATATTATACAAATGAACATATTAGCATATATTTTTGTTTTCTGTACCAAATCTTGAATTTTCTTAAATTTGCCGTTCCTAGAAAAATATTTTTCGCAGTAACTTCCTTCTTTGTACATTTCGTTTGCATTTATTTAGTTATTTGCTCATTAAAAGATATGCATAATTACTACCGTTACATTGACTTTATTTTCTGTCTCCACATTTAGAATTTTATTTTTGAAATGTTTTTGTATATTTTGATTTTTTTGTTCCTTTTTTGTGTGTCTGTTTAACAATGATCTTAAAATATATTTTCAAATATTTTAAATATTTTTTTTCTGTTTAATATTCCTTGTAAGTAACTCGTTTAATTTCATTTCAAATGACATTATTCTCGAAAATTTTTATTATTTTAATTAATATTTATTTTTGAGTTTTTTCTTATTATTTTTCTCAATTTGTTTTTAATATTTTTCTCAGTTTTATTCGTGCATTTAGCATTCTTCATTCTTTCTTCAATTCGCTTTGTACATTTTATCTAATAGTTTGACGCTAGTCCATTCGTATATTGTCGTTTGAAGAGGTATTACTTTAAGTATCCTATTTGTATAATATATATATTCATCCTTTTGATTTTGACATTCAATATATTATTTATTTTCACTTGTACTTTTAAAAAAATCAAAGAGTAAGCAAATACTTTACTGACTTATATCTGAATATTTTTAAAAGCTCGAAATTGGTTAATAACATTCAGTGAAGCCTTTGCAATCTCTCCTGAAAACGAATTTTAGCCTTTCCATTTTATTTAGTGCTAATATATAGTATATATATATGAAAGAGGAGTTTTGATTAATTTTCATACAATTTAAACATTAACTATTTCTTTTTTTTTATTTGATTTTACAATTGTGATAAGTTTAGTTGAAAAAGAAAAATTAAATAAATGAAAAAACGTTGAATTAATACAAAATATTCCTTACAAGAACGTATGTACAGCTTGTATGACAGCTATGTACATATTATATATTATATGCTAGCTCATCAATTTGTTCGGAGGTTATAACGTTATCTTTCGGAAAAATATTATATCAATAAAAAAATGTTTCCATACAGGAACTTTTAGTGGTCCGATAACAGCGGTTCCGCCAGTGAACACCTTTTTGGGGAAGAAAATTTGTGTGCAAAATTCGATATCGATATCCAGAAAACTGAGGGACCAGTTCGCGTATATTTCTACTCGACATGCGCTCCTGCTCTCTGAGAGCACTCGTCAACAACTCGGTATAAGGAAACTGTGGGACGGCATTTCAAGCTCCTTACGTACAGCGGCAACCGAAACTATTGGTTTTCGGAAAAGGTAAAAGAACAGCTGCTACGATGAGGAGTGCCGTGTCGCAGCGGAGACAGATTACCTACCTTGCAACGTTATATCGATCACAACAAGTGCGGGGCGGGAGAGATGCTGAGAGTTGAAGAGGGAAGCAATACGCAGACAAAAAAAACAGAGGCCGAAATGCGTGAGTACGAAGAGCTTGACAAGTTAGCCGACAGGGTACAGTCCGATGATATTATATCATTGGCCTCAATATTAATTCTACTTTGTATAGACTGGATAAAGAAGCAAAGCAAATATGTCTGATAGTGAATGCGGGCAAGGCGAAATATCTCCTGTTATCAAACAAACACCTGCGACTTGGCTGCCACGTCATTCTTGACCGTCATCACTTCGAAGTCATAGATAATTTCGTCTATATTGGAACCAATATTAACACCAACAACAATGTCAGCTTCGAAATCAAACCCCCCGGTGGAAGCAGAAGAAGACCTGCACTCCTTTGGAGAGATTAGGTGGAGAAGGAAGTATCTCAAATTATCACCAAATTACGAAAAGAGCAAACGACGGCCACGCTGTTGTTAACTCAGCTATAACCGCGTAAGCTTTTCCGAAACTTAATACAGCCTGTCTAGGGTATAAGGAGAGAGCACTCGAATTGTTTAATTACGGAGCACCACATCAGAAGCGAAGACCACGCTTGCACTCGTAAACTCACATTGTCACTACAACGCGATCTTGGAACCTGGATTTATATATGTATATATAATATAATAGCGGTATAGCTGACATATCCTGGTTATAGCGATAATAAATGTTGAAAAAAAAACAGTGAAACATTTCTCTAAAGTAAATCGGATACAAGGATGATTCTTAATCYTAACGCTTACTAAATATGATGATCATATTAAGAGCTATCAGCTAGGTCATAGTCCAYAAAGGAATTTGGGACGCTTCCTCTCTACTAACACAATTACCTAACATAACAATAAATAAATAATTAAATAAGTAAATAATAACTAAATGTAAAATATTTTGAAACTGTTTTGAAAACTTCGATTCGCGTTTTAAAACACATACATATGTACATATTTATATCATTATTGCTAATTAATAATATTTTGTTTAACTGTTTACTTATCTAGTTTTCAGGTAACACTCACAGATAGGGAATTAAAGTTTTCCTTAACTATATTTGATATTTTTGGTATGCACGAATATATGTATATAAATTTATATGTATGCATATGTATATAGATTTCTTAAAATAATTTTATTTATGCTATTATTTGGTCTATAAAGAGTCTCGTATACATATCAAATATTATTCCTTCGAGATTTTTTGCGGTTTTACTAAAATACATTTAGCACCATCATTAACCCTATAAGCACATGCATACAGAAATATTATTTAGTGATGTTAAAGTAACTTAATACCTCTTTAATCTCTCGCAGTACAGCTAATTGGCTCCCAGTACATTTATTAATATCCGCTGTCTATTAATATCACTGATGTCGCCTTTAGACATGCCTTGACATATCTCGTATCTGCTTTCCGTCATGTATCTAWTTTAGTCAGCTTGTGATAACTGCAGGAATAACGTTGAGTTTACAATAGCGTAAACTTACTATKGTTTGTTTATTTGTGGTCCTTACAACAATTGACATGCATTGGAATGCATTCGATGCCGCCCATTAGAGTGATTGTAGCCTGTACAACACTGATGCGCAGTACCACGAGTATGACTGAAACTGTGACTGTTTGACATTTTCGGCTCGTGCGCATGGTGACAGGTGGCGTAATGCATTTGCGAGTAATTGTGGTTGTGTCTAAAAGCATGGAGAAAGAAATTTCTTAAGAATCTATAATCCATAATCTATAATCAATAATTTATAATCTGTAATACTTAATTTCTAATCGACAATCTATAATCTATAATCTATAATCTATAATCTTTAAGCTATAATCTATAATTTATAATCTATAATCTATAAATTATAATCTATAATTAATATTCTATAAGCTATAATCTGTAGTTTATAATCCACAATCTATAAGCTGTAATATTTCATATCTAATTATCCGTTTTTAATATATTCGACTCACCCATGATGCGCCAATCCTGAATCTGACATGGAGTTCGTCATCTGCGGGCCTGGTGGTGGYGGCAAAAATAGCGGACAACCACCACCTCCATCGCCGCCACCTTCATCACGAAAGGCAGCCATGCGTCGCATATTAGCGCGTTTGTTTTGYACATCGACTTCATTTGCTTCCTCAATCATCCGATCTAACTTTTCAATAGCTTTTGTTTGCTTGGCAGCGAGGAATGCTTTACGTGCTGCTTTGGACATAGGTAGTGGTGCCGAATTCGAACGAATCGGTGGCGAACACGGTGACAGCGATTCTCGTGATGATGTACGACTGCTGCCGAATGATATGTTGTTATTTGTGATCTTGGTCTTTGCGGTCGACGTTGTCGGCATCGCAACTGCAGTGGCCTTAGGTATGATCGGCACTGGTATGGAGGCTACAGTGGAGTTTGAAATATTGGTTGCCAGTGGCTTTTGCTGTTTTAATTGCTCCTTTAGCGGTTGCTGTGATTGCTGTGGCGCAGGTGGTGGCGATGGCAAAACAACTGGTTCTTGTGGTATAGTTAGGCTACGTGAAAATGTGATTTTTCTAATTAGAAAGAGAAGTTATTAAGTTGTGTATAACAACAAATAGAAAAACTCTATAAATAAAACATAGTAAGTATAGTAGAAAAGAGCGTTTAAATTCAATTCTTGTTATGTAGTCGTAATATATTTATTATTAAAAAATTTCCGGAATWCCCAGTAAACCAAAGTTCCTAACCATAAGTACATGAAAGAGTAAGACCTATAAAGGGGCAAGACAAAATGTCTTGGATACTTGACTAAACTTGATTATTTTATATTAAAGAATATATTTGTATATATTTTCATTGATGAGATCGAAAGTTAATTGGAAAACAGGACATATAGAGCAATTTGGGTTAGGCAAGATCACTTTAAATAATTATTATTAGTCACAGTTAAATTTAATTTTCATTAATTAAACGCAATTCGTGAGACATACCAATATCTGATTTCGGCTAAGAAATCTTGCGACGAGTTTGAAAACCAATTTCCACGCGCAAACACGATTGACATGCTCCCAAAGTGAGTATACCTACCTAGCCTTCGATTTTTCCAACGACGCTGACGATGTGGTTGGAGCCACTTTGCATGTGACAGTTTCTCGTGGTGGTGCTGTAGACGGTGGGGTAATCTGATCCATGGCAGCCAGCTCTTCGGGTGTAAACTGATCGGGATTATTGGGACGTGGTTTGGACGGTGCGCTACCTATACGAAAAGCGGGCGTTGGACTATAGGGGCAAACCGATGTAGTGGTGCCACTATTGACCAATGAATTGCGTGAGTATTGCAGATCTTCTAAAAATTCTTCGGTATCTAATATGAGCGAACCAAAAATATCGCTAGGTGTWCGCATAAAAACATGACCCATTGAATTGGAACGCGATTCACGACCACATTCATTGCTTCCGAAAGAATTGCGCACAGGCGAATTTGCTATGCTACGACGCGCTATATCTGTGAAGGTTACTGGTGAGTAAATACGTCCACGCTCTTTTCCAGCACTGTTCTGGGGTGGTGAGGTCGTGCTTGCCGCGCTCGCYGCATCCATTGAATTGATCATGGCACTTGTGGCATTTGCCAATTGCATACGCTCTACCGAACCGATAACCGGTTGGGCGGCAGCTGGCATAATTGCTTTYAAAGTTTGCGAAACACTCAAACGACGGTCGGTTGTAGAGGCTGCAGTCGACGGAATTGAGGTCGCAGTCGTTACTGTTGCTGCAGTAAATGTTGAAATTGGATGGAACAGTTCGGGTGGCAATTGTAACGATTTGCGATTTTCACGCTCTTCCAACCAATATGTCTTCATTGGACCCTTCCCTTTAACATCGATTTCACCGCGTTCCGTTAGTTTGTAACAAGGGCTGAGAAATTGCTTAGCCGGCTCGGAGACGTGAACTTTCATCGCAGAGCCCGTGGATTCCATACGTGATGCGGTATTCACTGAATCACCGAAGAGACAATATCGCGGCATTTTTAAACCAACAATGCCCGCAACCACCGCACCGGAATGCACACCCACACGTATGCGCAAATGTTGGCCCGTCGATGGATCTTTCAGATCAGTGATGGCATCCACCATATCTAAGGCCATATCACAAACTTTATCCGCATGATTGACGGACTTTTCTGGCGCACCCGACACTACCATGTAAGCATCACCAATAGTTTCCACTTTGTAGACATTATTTCTCTCGGTTAGCGTGTCAAATATAGAATACATTGCATTTAACATGGACACCACCTCCATGGGTGTGATGCGACTGCAGATTTCGGTGAAGGTAACAACATCAGCAAAAAGTATAGACACACAGTCGAACATCTGTGAGAAATGAAATGTTGGCGCAATAGGATTAAGTCTTCGCCAATTATGGTATATTAAATTAGGGATTCATTACCTCACACGTGTCAATGGGATTTTCTCCGCGTCTTAAACGATCAGCCACCTGTTTCGGTATCATCTGATAAAGCAATTCGTCTGTGCGCCGCATTTCTTCGTCTAGTTTGCGCATGGACTCCTCCAGTTTCTTTGATTTTTGTTGTTCTTGATCGAGCGCTAACTTGAGTTCGACTGATTGCTGTGTGCCGGCCAACATGAGATCTCTGAAAGGCGCAAAGATCATGAATATGGAAAAGACTATTATGTCAATAATTTATTTACCTGCTGAAGTCATGCATTGACAAATCATTAATGTAGAGACCTGTTGTTATGAGTGAGTTGAGATCAGGCATAACCGGTGTACCCAGAAACATGATCATACGCCAATTCTCCATGTAGACCATTTGACCTGAAATCACATTAAATCGGGATATATGTACATATATTATTCAAGTGAGGATTTTGGAGAAATTAACCTGGAAACTGGAGCAGAACGCTATCGGAGATATTTATGAATTAAAAAAAATATTTAAGAATCAGTATGGCGGATGTGCTTCTTCACTAATTTGAGATTGATTTCATTTGCGCCCTAGCGTTTTTTCACAGCTAYATATATTTTCTATTCAAAGAATAAAGTGGTTCTATCTATATTAGATGTATGCCAAGGGTATTTACTTTTGCCAATTCTTTTGGTTATTGTTATCGAGTGTTACTTCGTACACAGACCTATAGATGACAAGCGCAGTGGGATCTATTGGAWCTTTAATGAACATATTGAAGATTTCGCTTTGTGGATGCTATTTGCTTATTGTTTGTGAAGCCCTCCGGCGTACAAGAAAGTCTTAAGCATGTATCGATTAGTTTACAAATAAATATCTACAAAACGAAACCATTAAAAATGAACACAAAAAACAACATTCAATCAACAAGCAACCATTTTGTACTGCAAAATAAGATATTCATCATGTTGAAGACTTCACCCATCAGGGTAATAAACTTAGCAATATGCCCATTATCGAGCCATTCGATACTAAACGAAGTTTCAGACAAGGCGATCTCCAGACTGGACAAGGAAGCGAAGCGATGCACGAGTTATACTTATACGACCTTAACATAGTTTAGCGAATTAAGAGACAGCGGCTACGCTGGATAGGCCATGTCGTCTGTATGGTTGAAAAGACGTCAGCGCTGAACGTACCCGCAGTTGGAAGCAGAAGAAGTGGAAGGCTTCCACTCCGACCAGGTGGAGAATGACCCGGCTGCACAATCTCGAATTGGCGCCAAATTGTGAAAAGAAGAAACGAATGGAAATCTATGTAAATAAGCTTTCAAGCAAAAATTAGACTACCTTAGTCCAACGTTGTCTGTGTCCTGATTTACGGATGTAATACTTGGCTTGTAACTAACCACCTTACTGGAAAGATTCAAAGCTTTGCTAATAGTTGTCTACGGCATATCTTTCAGATGTGGTGGCCTAACGTCATCAGCAGTGACGATCTATATAAAAAATGGCATCTGGAACCAATGGCCGACTAAACAAAGTTGAGAAAATGGAGATACCAAGGTCATACACTATAAAAATATGCTACGAAAGTTTACTGACAAGCTTTGGACAGGAATCTACAAGGAAGTTGTAAGACTAATATAGTACCTAAGATCACCTGGAGGAGATCTCTACAAAAAGTAAAAAAGCTTTATTGAGGTGACTACAACAATTGGGATGGACATATTTGGACGTAATTTTTTTTGAAAAGTGGGCGTGGCCCCGCCCCCTACTAAGTTTTTTGTACATATCTCAGAAACTACTACAGCTATATTAACCAAACTCTGTAGAGTCGTTTCCTTCAGGCCTTTCCATATAGAGTTCAAAAATGGAAGAAATCGGATAATAACCACGCCCACCTCCCATACAAAGGTTATGTTGAAAATCATTAAAAGTGCATTAACCGACTAACAAAAAACGTCAGAAATACTAAATTTTACGAAGAAATGGCAGAAGGAAGCTGCACCCAGGCTTTTTTTAAAAATTGAAAATGGTCGTGGCGTCGCCCACTTATGGACCAAAAACCATATCTCAGGAACTACTAGACTGATTTCATTGAAATTTGGTAGATAATATATTCTTAACACTCTAATGACATGTATGAAATATGGGTGAAATCGGTTCACAACCACGCTTTSTTCYAACATAACGCTATTTTGAATTCCATCTGATGCCTTCTTTGTATAATATATACATTAGGAACCAATGATGAAAGCGGAATAAAACTTTACACAAATACGGTATTTGAGCTGAGGTATCCTTTGTGGAAAAMTTGTCGTGATCGGACTATAACTTTTCAAGGTCGCTGATATCGAACACGAAGAACTCAGTGCCTAACCTAACCTAACCTAATTTTTCACCGAAAATATCGGTAAATCTCTCAGATATTTTCATACAATTCATAGGGCATAGTCTTTATACTTTCGCAATAAAGTTGCTAATAACGGAATAAATCGTCAGATATATGGTTACATATACCAAAGTGTTCAGGGTGACGAGTAGAGTTGAAATCCGGATGTACATATGTCTATCCGTCCGTGTAAGCTGTAACTTGAGTAAAAATTGAGAGATATCTTGATGAAACTTGTCATGCGAGAGTATAAAATATTCGGTGACACCTGAAMTTAGCCCTTCCTTACTTGTTCAATTTCATTATTGTTCTTACCTTTCAAACGCAGCGTCTTTTCAGGCTCGGAACCGTCATCGTGCAACAGCAATTCGGTGGAGGGTTGAAGATCGACGCGATCGGTAACTGGTTCAACCGTGACCAATTCAAAAATGTTATTTGTTCTATTTAAAATCTATATAAGGTAAAATGTAATGGATTAAGTTTTTATACTTATAAATAGAAGGCAATTGCATGCAGCAGAGCTTGAAAGAGTAATTTTGTAATTATCACTTCATTTACAAGCCAATTTCAGCTCTTCCTTCAACTGTCTAACGGTAATTTACTGAATTGCGCTCATTAACATCAAATCTACTTACAGTTTGGAATTTGAAGGCAATTAAAGGGCGCACCAGATCAAACCAGGCGGTAATTTTTTGCCCCAGCAGGTCGGGTAGAATGACCATCAGAGAATTGCCAATGCTGCGTACCACCATATCAGCGCTGTAGGTCACCAATAAAGACGAAGCCACCGCCAATAAGTGGAAAGAGAATAAAAAAAAAAAAACTTCACTGAAGATGACTGTAACTAGTATTACGCTGGTAACAGCTGCATTCAATGCATTTGCCCCAGTTAACGTGCCGGCGCTCGAATGCACTGCTGCGCCACGTAATTAAATTCGCAACACAAGTGCATTTGCTATAATCAAATGACAGGCAGTTGGTATTGGCTGACGACTGGTAGCCATAAAGTAGGCAAGCCAACAATTGACAAATGGCGCTGAGTGCCTTTACTGTCGCTAAGTATGYATTTATGTATGTACGTATTTACTTACCCGAATACAATGCAAAATGGGAATATCTCGAAGAGCACATGTGCACTAATGGGTAAATGCTTCTCCTCGCGCGTCATCGCCAGCGATGCAAGCGTAAATGCACGATTATCAAATGTCAATTGAAATGTCACATGTACGGTGTCGAAGAGTATCTCTTCGCGCACTAGTTCGATATGCATCTCCTTGTGGTAAAAATGTCGCGCCACTTCACGTATTTGCCCCATTGTGTAGTAGACGAAACCACGCCGCTTTGAGCGATAGTGTAATGTGAGTCCTTGTCGCGTCTCGTTTTCGCAAATAAATGATGGCGCTCGCATGCGTGGATATGAGAATTTTAAATATTCATGCAGATTATCGAGACCATTGAGAAAGTCACGCATATGCCGACCAAGCACCGAAAGCACACGATCGTAACCATATTGTCCAACAAAGCCRACAAAGTACACACCCATTTGATCCATGAACTCGTGCTCGGAGACGCCGAGTACCTGTAAACATGTTTAAAGAGTTTATAAAGAGAATCTTATAGAGAGCTAGAACCAACAAAATTCTTTATAAAAAGAAACTATATGATTAAATAAATTATTCCAAATCTCAGTTTTTGAAACACTTCCTTTATGGTAGATGAGCAGCTTTTGATATCGACTATTTATACAGTCTCCTCGTGTCTCTACTAATTTTGTTGATTTATGATTAGCCATATTCGGTTTCGTTACGCCGTATTTTATTGTAGATTTTCAGTTTACTTCTTATTAGAAAGATGGGTTCGAATTCGACCAAGTTGGTTATGGCAATGTTGGAGGTGTGAGAGTGGATGTGCTCTTTTTTCTTCTGGCTTTGTTTTTTTATAACGGCAACGAATTGTTTTCATTTTCACGAATGAATCGAAGTTCAAGCGGAAAATTGGAGAGAAGTCTTCTGTTGGGAGCTGTCAATTAATTCTTATTTCAGATTGCTGCAACACTGTAGTGTCTTTAAGCCAGAAGTGACAGCTATTAAAGTARCAGCAGATGTACTTCAACGAGGTGTGGCTGCTTTAAGAAGATGGGGAATCGATACATTTCACTCCGTTAGCGGAGCTGCTTGCCCACCCACAGTGAGCTTAAAGCCAGTCAATTAGTGCACGAGCCCACAAGCTCCAAATTAAACTTATCTGGTGCTTGACCATAGCGGAATCGTCGAAAACTGTAAAGCCAATGGGCTGGCTAGAAAGAACAGCCTCAACCAAGTCCGATTAGAATGGGAACGAGCAGGTGTTCGCTTGTAGTCGTGCATCTGGGCGCTGGATATATGGGCTTSGAGCGAGCCCAGTAAGGTTGGTCTGTAATCGGTACTTGTGAGATTATGAAAGACTTTTGGGCCAGAGTGCAACGCAAAAGGTTCATGAAATTACAAGCTCTTAGGAGGGTTAGGAGGAGGATTAACGCAATGATAGGTGTTCTAGACATTTTCACTGMCTTGCTTTCGCCAGAGTAAGGTTGAAGCATCTTCGTTGTCATACTTTCTATGAACCCGGAAGTTAGCTGAAGTAGTACYGTCAATAAATTTGTGGCTGGCTCTAGGCGTTTGGTATATACAAGACGGTATTTTTGATCCATATTTGGAAGTAGTGGGCATGACAATGGAAAAGTGGGATTTTTCGTGGTCTCAAGAATATTAGCCTATTTACCTTACCTAACCTGTGCCAAAATTTGGCTTTGCATAGCCGACTTGCCCTTCTCAGACTAGACAGATCCGACCGTTAGGAAAGCYTTTCGCTTCTTCGCGAAGCAGATCTGCCAGGTCTAATCCACTGTTGGAGCAYTTTTTCGCTCTTTTTCGTCTACAAATGGATTCCAAATGATGCTCAACATCGCCAAACATACTAAAGTTCCAGCTTTGCGAACTTGAACTAATTATTTAATATACTAAGGTGGAAAGTTTGTGCAATTTTACCTTTTAACCGCTTACGGCCAATGGCAGTAGTTTCAACTACTTCCTATTTTATCTGATTTATAAAAAAAATAACACGAACTAATAGAGAAATGTCAATTAGTAGCTCGACTGCCATCAACAAACATAACTCAATTATTATCGCCTTTGAATTCTTGTTATGTGTGTTGTTGTATTTTCTTCATATTGCTTACCTGTTGCGCCTTCTTCGCCAACTTGTTCAGCATATTTTCCGGGTAGACTTGATGTACGCTAAACGATGGCGAGTCGATACCAGCCTGACGTCGTATGTCTTCCCATTTCTCCTCGCCRTACACTGATTTAATATACTCGGAGAGATTCTCCAGCAATAAACCATACATTTTCAATAGTAGTTGCACGTACTCAAACGCGTGGCGGAGCGGTCGAAGATACTGTGATGAAAATGATTCAGTTGTTATCTGTATAGTTATTTATGCAATGGTATGTGTATGCGTACTTTGTATTACGACAGGAGCGGCTTGTATGTAAATAGTATATTTATTTACTGAAGACTATTGTCATTAATTAAATTGGCATCTTCCATTTTTGATACTTCAAAGCCATTTTCGCGTAGTGCTGAAAAATAAATAAACAAAATGAAAATGATGAATAAGTACTCTAATGCAAAGACATAAATAGAAGATTGTCTACAAATCACGTAGCGGATTTTGTTGCCGATCAATTTATCATTTCCGCTGACGGCTGCTAAACAAAGTGAAGTATGGTTATGGAAATTTAAAGTATGTAATTGTGAATGAATATATGTATATATATTTGAGGTTATGATTAATAACTTGTTGAGCAATACCCTGGTGCTTTGMGAAAAAGGGTTGTAAATTAATTTTCTCAAGGAAAAGAGTTTCCTCAAAAAACCTTATTAATGTATATATATTAATATATAAATATAATGCAATAAACATTTGAAATTTTAGGTTTGTATGTGCAATTACAGTTAAAAAAAAAGTATGACAGTGCCTTATTAATGGAATATTGAAATTTCTTGAGTTTTTTATATATGAAAAGACGTTGGTTCTATGAAAAATGGGTTCTTAGGCACCTCTAAAAAGTCACTTCAAGTATGAGCTCCTAATTGGAACTTCATTTTATCAGATAAACAAATTTAAATCTCGCTTCCAACTACTTGAAAAAATATCTCGTTTCAAAATATTTGTAGAACCTTGAATGCTTTAGAAAAAAGTCTGCAACGAAAGATATTAAGGGCTGAAGTTAGATTACTTTAGGACAGATATTTTTAATACTCTTGGAACATGCTGCTACGGAGATTTTTTATATCATCGTAAGATTATTTGATATCACACCGTTATACTTCGTGTCGGGATATTTAAAGTTTAAAGTCTATGCGGACAATCCTGCTTCGATTCAGGCYTTGGAGAAAAACATCAYGCGTGTCATTCGYCAGTTWCAAGTYKAAATGCTCGAAYGAGTYATCGAAAATTGTACTCAATAGATGAATCATCTGAAATATAGTCGGGGCCAATATTTGAAAGAGATATACTTCAAAAAATTAATTTCAAAGARTGTGCTTTTGAATAAAACTAAATATTCTCCATTAAAATTGAAGCTTCTATGTTTTTYCTTCAAAACCATAGGGAACCTCGAAATAGATGGTATTTGGCGACGGTCGGTAAATTCAGCCCCCATGATGTAACATCCCCGAATGGGTACAGGCAGGCCGACTTCTGTCTCCGGATCGAAAAGCCACCAWTCAGATCGGTTATGTTGTGATAGACCGAAGACACGTCTTCAGTGTTTTAAAGTCATCAACAAACACAAGCAAAGTTCGATGTCGAGAAGCTGCGACTACAACAGCTGCAATCCTAACCAGAAAACCAAGAAAACAGACAGCCTACCTCGCAWYGTTGCAAGCGATCACAACACGTRCGGGATGGGATAGATACCGAGAGTTGAAGAGGAAAGCATTTACGGACAGAAAAAGAGAGAGGGCGAAATACGTGAGTAACAAGAGTTTGACAAGTTCTATGAAAAAATGCGGCGGCTAACAGAGGGTTTCAAGACCGGAGCATACACTTGTAGAACCCCCCCGAAGTGATCTGGTGACTGATGCCAAGATCGTATTAAAAATTTAAAGAGAATACTTCTCTAAATGACAGTGAGAGCATAACACCAGGAGATGGAAAACCCAATGCGATGGAGCAGACGTTCCACCACCCGACCGTAAAGAAGTCCGAATGACAATTACCCGTCTGAAAAACAACAAAGCATCAGCTTCTTTGTAGAGWATGGTCGGACGAAAACATTCCCGACGATTGGAAGCTAAGTAMGCTCTGCCCAATCCACAAAAAGGGATATCCCACAATCTTGGCCAAGGCTTCTCAAAATTGCTTATAAGAATATATCAATCGTATTGTGTGAAAGATTAAAGTCTAYCGTCAACAAWCTGATTATACCTTATCAATGTGGTTTTATGCCTGGAAAATCAAYAACTGACCAAATATTTACCATACGCCAAATCTGGAAAAGACCCGTGAAAAAAGGATCGACACGCACCACCTCTTTGTCAATTTCAAAGCGGCTTATGACAGCCCGAAAAGAAGCTGCCKTTATGCCGCGATATATGAATTTGGTATCCCCACAAAGCAAATACGTCTGTCTAAACTAACGTTGAGCAACATCAAAAGATCCGTCAGGATCGGAAAGGATCTCTCCGAGTCGTTCGAAACCAAACAAGGTTTCAGACRAGGCGACTTCCTTTCRTGCGACTTGTTCAACCTGCTGCTGAAGAAAATAATTCGAGCTGCAAAACTAAATAGAGAAGGTACCATGTACCATTTTYCATAAGAGCGTACAGATGCTGGCGTATAACGAAAATATTAACAACCATGGCGTTAATTCTGCTTTCTCCAGAATTTATACGAAAGCGAAACAAATGAGTCTGGTAGTGAACGAAGGCAAGAAGAAATATCTCCCGTCAACTAAGAAACAGTCGTCTGTACTCACGACTTGGCTCCCACGTCACTGTTGACTGTCATAACTTCGAAGTCGTAGATAATTTTGTCCATTTTGGAACCAGTGTTAACACCAACAACATTGTCAGYCCCGAAATCCAACGCAGACTATCGACAAAAAGTGCTACTTCGGACTAGTTAGCAATTGATAAGTAAAGTCCTCTCTCGACGAATACAGACCAAACTCTATAAGTCACTCATTATTCCCGATCTTTTGCGCATTGGCAACGGCGAATATTTCATTCAATGGAAAATGATTTGTATGAGATATAGACAACATTGACATATGTAGTTCAGAGAATTAATTATCTATTAATTCTTTACTATTAATTCTTTCAGTTACGTTGGCTAGTTCATGTTGTACCGAATGTATGAAAACACTGTAGCTCTGAAAGTATTCTACGCAGTACCTACAGGGTGATGCAGAGGAATACTTCCACTCCGTTAGAARGATCAGGTGGAGAAGAACACAGTTAGAATCTCCTATTAGCGCCAAACAGCGAAAAGGAAGAACGACTGTTGTAAACTCGACTATAACCACAACCAGCGGTGTTTATGTCAATAAAGTAGAAGACGCAACTCCACAAAAGATATATATTATATTATTCTTCAATAAATATTGTTTTATAAACAAAAAACTTATTTTATTAATATTTTAGCAATTTTTAAAATTTGTGGGGTTTTGCCATTTGAAAGCCGTTTTTGAATTTTGATATGAAGTTATTGTTTAATAGAATGATGTTTTCCATCAAAATTTCGCAGTAGATAAAGTAGAAATACTAGCAAACGAAAACAGCCATTTTTTAAGTTTTTAGGTAGTACTTTCATGACACAATTTTCACCATTATTTATCCCAATCGTGCTGATTTTTTAAACCTTAAAAACCACTTTCATTGCAATATTCGCATATATTTATATTAGTTATATATTCCTTATATGTTATTTATACATTAATTTTTTTTCTATTTTTTATAGCTTGGAGAGACTATATTTTATGCACTAATTTTTTTTAAACCGTCGTTATGTGAATGTCACCCTTAACTAAAACGATATATATTTCTAAAACGTATTGCAGTCGAAAGTATATAATAGAATAAGTAAAAATCTTACTTTATATTTGATGTCACAATCCAAAAAGCGTTCTAAGTAATTTAAGAAAAATCAACATACGATCTGTGAAAATAATTTGAATCGCGCACAATAACTAATGTAAGAATGATAAAGCGATTCTTATTTCACTTGTGGCAGTTAGTGGGTGACAAATTTGTCATTGTTGCGATTTGTGTCCAGAATTAAAAAGCGCCTAAATTGACTTAACTTTTTATATAGAAAAATATGATAACTTAAGTTTTGAAAGTTTTGATAGCTTAAGATTGAAAGTCATCACTTACCAGAAAGTTTTTTCAAAGCAAACGTTCATTAAATGGTTATACAAGCATATAGTTCGAAGGTCAAAAAAAAAAAAAAAAAAAAAAAAAAAAAAAAAAAAAAAAAAAAAAAAAAAAAAAAAACAAGATTCTCACGTAAAAATGTGGTCTGGTAAAAAAAACGCTTAATATTTCCCAAACAATATATTCATGTAAAGGAAACCGTAAATGTAATCGAAATATTTGCTAAAGCTTACTTTGACTTAATGGCAAAAATAGAAGAATCTGGACATTCATGTTGCCACAATATAGTAATTTTCAACTTTTTGGTTGCTTTTATATATTCCTTCCCATATCTTTGATTATTGTTTCTACTCTCCAATTTAGTACGTGTTATATACTCATAAATTCAAAGGCTTCAATATCTGCAAAAATATGTGTAACTTTTCGGAAATATATTAAGACTTCATAAAATTACTATAAAGTACAAAAGTCGTATATACGTTGAAACCATAATCTCTTTATTCCACCGAATATATTAAAGTTCCACAAACCTAATTAAATTTTTCAAAAATTCTATTTAAACCGACATAATTGCATATTTGAAAGATTAGTTATTACTTAAATTAGTTTTCCTAYTYTTCTWATGTAAAAAYACTTAYTGAAGTAATGCACTGCTGTAAGTKTCATTACATTTCAAAAAGTTTCATATTGCCACTTTGTACATTCCATCCGATTAATGAAAACCTGTCATGTTGCAATATATTTCTCTTCAGTCTTACTCAATCGCCTGATTTAATTAAACCATTTCTGCTGGCGACAGTATCACTTGCTGTATCGCGTTCCGTTGCAAGMGCGCAGAAAGAGCAAACAACAAGGCAACTTGAAGAGCAGCCATTAATATGTCAACAGAAATGATTCGTTATGTAAATATTGAATTGTTTGTGCTTTTACGTGAATTATGTGTGCAGACGTTAATGAATTATC